TAGCATAATCTGCAATCTCCTTCGTCTCATATCCAACTAACACAACTACTGCAGATATCTCGTGTATCATTCTCTAGCTAGAAATGGTGCAACCACAGTGTTAGAACATTGTATATCAACTCGGATCTTCGTTGCTATCTCTTAGTTCCTTTTATTAAGGATTATCTATAACCTCATGCGATCTGTTTGATACCTTACTTTTGTAGAAAAGGGAGAAGGAGAAGTTTGAGAAAGAAGAGGCGGATATAACTTTGAGGAGGAGAAGGGGGAGAAAGGGGGCTGAACTTGTTTAAAAAGTGGATACAAGTTAAAAGTTTTAAAAAAAATGGGTATAGATTAAAGGGGGCGACCAAATAGGACGCCCCGTGCAATTTTTACATACTTCACGGCTATTGTGGAATACCAAAGAATTGAACTTTTAATTTTAATACAACTCTCACAACACTTCCTAACTAATTTAATTTAATGAAGGAATTTTTCATTAAGGCCAGAAACAAAGGTATGTACCACTCAGGCCAGTGGCAGATCTAACAGCGGCTTCGACATAATATGGTATTTTTGGACCTAACTCTATACATATATGAACAGAAATAAATATAAATAAAGTTACGTATACATTTCCGAGCACGCTCTCTCAATACAAAATTTGCAAGAAAAAATAAGAAGAAATGCATCTGTATTAGTAAGCTAGGTTTGGTTGTTAAACAGGCCAATAAAAACTCAGGTCGGTCGATCCTCTATTCATCCACGAAAGGACAAAACCCCAACGAAGGCCTATGCTACAATAAGAAAAAAAAAGTACGTTGAGGTTAACAAGTCACTTAGCCGTATAATATACAAAAGAAAAGACGAATAAGGGAAAACTCTAGAGATAGTTTCGAAATAATATCGTTATGTTGACTTATCTTTAACTAAGAAACTCATGTAAATAGAAGTACTTCTTTCTCAAAGATAACTTTCTTCCTTTTTGCTTTAGTGAAATAAGGGGCGCTAACGCGACCTTCCTTTAGCCGGCTTCATGCTAAGCATAGTTCTTTGAATCAAACGTTGAATGAAATCGCTTTTTATTTAATATCAAAATTTAAATCAGATAGGATAAATTGATGGATCTATCTTCCTATTCATCGAAGAGAAAAAAATAATTAAAAAAAGAGCCTCACTCACAACAAAAACAATTCAATGCACACGTGTGGCATTTATGAAGTGGATGGAAATTGGAAGCAGAGTCCTGTACAAACAGGTTTGTGGACTCCAAAAATGGGCGACTCTGAGCTGTTAATGGGCCCAAAAACACACGAGGGTTTTTTGATTTGTGGGCCCAAGGCCTAAATAGTCAATAGTCCCCTTTGGTTTGGAGTGAGACAGTACTGTGGACAAATCCTTTTCATTCGCTGCTCTTTTTTCCTGTGTTTATGTCTTCTTTCACTGAAATAATTCCAAGTTCAAAAGTGTTGGCTATGCTATCTATGTACATCTACATACATAAAACATGTGACAACCGTTTTAAACTTAATGAAGTTCGTTTCCGGTTTTCCAAAATCATTAGTAAATTCTACGATAGTATATTGAAGTCTATAAATTCGAAGTTATATAGGAAAATTAGAAAGAAAGTGTGCCATATGATGGCAGGGTTGTGCCAAGTCACAAGATTATAAAGGGAGAAGGAAGACTGATTTAATGACAATATTTGGATATCTGTTAAAATTTCGTTCAATCTTTATTCTATTGGTAAATTAAAAGACCATGTTACTAAAAGGGTATAGTAGTTATTTTTATTATAAATAAAAAGGTTAACCCATATAGTTATTTCATTATTAGTCAAAAGGATAACCGGTGCACAAAATATTTCGTGCAGCATAAAGGGCCGCACTTCAAGGATATAATGTATATAGCGTACTTTGATACAAGTATTAGTGGCTGCTTGGATCTGTAACCTATATATCACATGAAGACAACTTTACCATTCTTATTTCATCAAAATGTTGGAAAAAGAATAGTTGAGTGTTACAAGTAATTTTTTCTCTTCTCAATTAAAACTTTGTCGTTCTAATTAATTGAGTGTTAATTAAGTGAGATATTAATGGAAAAATGCAATTTAGACAATTATTTGTATGACTATGATTATTAAATGCCTTTTCTAAGGAGTGTGCAAAATTTAAAATTAAGACTAATTATAGACCGAATACATCATCAATGATTATTAGGATAAGCAGCCCTTACTGGCATTTTCGTGTATTAAAGGGAGAAGCGCATTAAGCCTAAGGCAATAGGAAGGATCTTCTTTTAGAGTGTGTTTGAAAATTCACAGTGAAAATTAAATTTAATTGTAATTACAGGAAACTATTGTTTAGTGGCCAAGTAATTCCTACATTCCAAAAGTTAAATCATGAAAATTATAGGAGATACAGAACATTCTAAAGTATGTTGATCAGTCTTTTCTCACAAAACAAACTTAGAACCCTGCACCATGCACGTCTTTATCACATTACATGGTACAGCCGCAGTAGAACTAGAGTGTCGGAAGCGGGCTCGGCCGAATTCAATAGTTTTGATTCGAACCTTATTTTTATCTTAAAAATCCATTGAATATATATAAATTATTAATTTAGAATCCAGTACTTAAAACGATTAAAATCTCGAACCCATAAACTTTAAATCCTAACTTTGCCTCTGGGTACATAAGCGGATCCATGATTGTGGGATGATGTATGTACTATTATGAAGAGTTGGATTCCAGGTTCAACCTTTAGTTCTTACTATTACAATTATACTCTAGGAATTATAAGTTCAAAAATAACTTTTTTTTAATAGTAATTTTCTTATATCTATATCTATACTTCATGTCGAAAATATTGGGAACAATTAAACCCATTGACTATATGCTATATCATCCACTTGCTTCTAGTTTTTAATTAACAGATTTTGTTTAGTCATATAAGATTTTAGGACGATAAAGAAGAATATGAATTTCAATGTGTGAATTTTTTCGAAAGATTAAACTAAAGAAAGAAAAGTACTTAATTAACATGCAAAATTGACACCAGACGTGCCCATCTTTTATGGGCGCCTAAATCTAGAAAAAGAAAGGAAAGAACAACAAGATTGATACTTTGAGATGCATATACATATTTAGTGGGCGCCCAATAAATCGACTTTAAGCTTGAATGCATATATATATATATATGTTTATTATTTTTGAAAAAATATAACATTACTATATATAATCTAGGGAGGAGAGCAGTGGCACCCCTTCACGTGAAAAATATACGGTGTAGATAGATAAAAAAAAAATTATATGTATATATACTATATATTGACTCCCCTTAATTTATTTATTTTTATATATTTTGATACCCCTTAACGAAAATTCTGGCTCTGTCACAGGAGGAGAGCGTGAGTTCATCTGCCCCGTGAAACCCTTTAGAGACGCCCCCTGACTAGGTATCATTTCTCAATAGCATATTGGAAATAGAAAAAGATAAACCTATGCAAATGTTTATATGAGGATCGTTTTTTTTTAAAGAAAATAATCTTGGTGAAAAGGTTGTTTTTGCATTACCTTTAAAAAGAATACTGTTCGACTGCTTTCCTGAAAGCACGTAATCTGTTTTAAAACAAACGTGGTTATTATCAGTTATTGTTTTAAAAAAATTCAACTTATGGGAAAACAGAAAAAAGAAATACTTTCTAAACCAATAGAGGAAAAGTTACTCAATATTTTCCAGGTATTTCCTTTTTGAATTCGTTTAGGGTAGAACTAAAAAACGTCAGCAAAGAAAGTGAAGTGAATTTCGTTACTTGATTGAAAAGCATTTGATGTTTTGGTGAAAGTTGGGAAGCAATATGATTACTCGAAATTAGAGCAAAATATGTAATAACAAATTCTCCTCATAGATCAGAAAATTGAGAAAGTTTTGGAGGGCATAAAATTTTGACACTTAGAAAGTGATGTGCTTGATTGCAATACTATAATTAAAACAAAGAATGTCGAGTTCTTCGAATATATTTATCCATTGTCTGATAAAATCTTTCATACGCTTGTTAAAATAAATAATGAAATTACCTCTAACGAGGAACTAAGAAGGAGCAAAAGGCCTAGGAAAGAATATTTTCTTACGGAAATAATTTTCAAACTTTTCTTGTTGATAATGAACCATCAAATTATTTTGAAGTTATATCTTCTTCAGAAACTAATTATTGAAAAGAGACAATAAAAATTGAAATTGATTCTATTATGAAAAATAATACGTGAATTTTAACTGATTTACCTCCTGGTGCAAGGCCTATTAGTTGTAAATGAATTTTAAAAAACAAATGTAATCCTGATGGATCTTTAGATAAATATAAAGCTCGCACTACTAGAAACACATGGATTTCCCATGGCGAAATCAATAGGAAACTGGTGGAAAAATCGAGTTTTCACACCGCATTCCCACTGAAACCAGTCACCAGGAAAACGCTTGGTTGGAAATATTTTTCAAGAGACGCGGTGGGAAATTTCCCACGATTTTTCCAGAGAAAATTTAATAGGAAAAATAATGAAATTTCCCACCAACAATCAGTGGGAAATATTATTAGTAATTTTTATTAATTTTAATACATTAGCCAGGGAAGTGATGAAAAAAATGCACGGGGAGCTGGAAATAAAGTATGAACTTTCCCACGGTTATCTGTGGGAAATATGCAACTTCTGAAAAATAAAGTATGAACACTCCCACCGATATCCGTGTGAAATATGTTAAAAAGTATGAACTTTCCCACCGATATCCGTGTGAAATATGTTTAAAAAGTATGAATTTTCCCACCGATATCAATGGGAAATATGCAAGTTCTATAACTAAAGTGACGAACCTTCTCACAGAATCAGTGGCAATTTCGTGGGAAATTTGGAAATTATTTTTATGCACAATGTACTACACCACCTGCCAAACAAAAAATACAACCACCAACAACCTAAATACAATTATATATTCACACACAAAAATCAGCATTTTCCGATCCATTTCATTAATTAACAACCAACCAAAACTAAAAATACTAGAAACCAATACTGCAACCAAACATTCAAATAAGAGCAGCATTCAATCTTATCCAATTGATACATAATATCCAACATCATAGTCCCACCAAAAATCATACTAATAAAAGAAACTACTCCTTAGTCTTGTTAGAGTGTGATGGAGAACGTGGTAGAGGAAATGCACCAGATGCTAAGAGGTAGTTTAGCTAGGCCTTGAGGCTTTCAACGTCACCAGTGACACATGTAAATGCAGCATCATTTCGCCTCATTTCTTCCTCCCTCCGACTCTCCTCTTCCTCCCTCCGCCTATCTTCTTCCTCCCTTTGCTTTGCCTCCTTCTACCGTGCAACCCTTTCCTGTGCATACAACTCAGTGATCTCTGATATTCTTCTATTCTATAGCTCAAACTCATCCTGATTAATCGAGGACCTTGAGGAAGAATAGCCACCAGATCCAAAATACCGACGACTAGAACTAAACTCTGATCCAAGGCCGTAAACTCTTTCCTTATGTACGCCACCAGCCGCCTTAATCCACAAGTCCATATAATTCTCCTGGGATGGTTGGATTGGCTTTCCTTGATTATCAGTTGGTTGGCTTTGAATGAACTCCTCCAAGGATTGTTTGAAAGTATTCTGAAAAAAAGTTACAACTATTATATGAACAAATTTAATTACTGAAAAGTATAAAAAAGTAACTTGAAATCTTACATAGGTTGTCTCGGCTCGTGGCTCGATCCCTTCTTCATATGTGTATGCTCAAATACCTCATCTTGAGTAGTTGGTCTTTTTAAAGACTTTTCCTATTAAATAACACATGAAAAAAGCAAAATTAAAGTGTTATGTCCATGAAACTTCAAAAAGAGTAGTTAACTGTGTATTGGGTTGGCATCGGTTGCATCCTCTTCTTCTTCAGGCAATAATTACAGTAAATTAATATAAAAATACAGACGATCATTAATTGAGCAATCTCTTCTTGTTTTTCGCATACTCTTCCTTCCCTTTCTTTTTCACTCAAAACTCCTTCCCTTTTTCCCTCACCTATCACTATACACACAAAAATCTAATGGCCTTGTTCCTTTATCTGTCTCAGGCTTCCATAATACATTACCACATTGCTAAAGTTGTAGTCTTCGAAATGAAAGATCCATAAAATTCATAATGAGAACAAAGCCTCTATTTGTAGGAAAAAATTTGCGATTACACTTACCCCAGTATACATGTAAGGTATCAGAAATAGGATATTTATATTCTCCTAGGCACCCTTTCTATTCAGTAAATCAAGTTGTTAATTACTGGCAATTTTTCTTCAAGTTTCTTTAATGGAAAAAGTCTCTTAAATCCAAGAAGTAAAAATGCATTGATTCACCCGCATGAAAAGAAAGAAATTATAAATTACTAACGAAGCGTAAGCTGACATGGATATCAATTTAATTCCTCATTTACCAAACTTAAACAAACAAATAAACATACACCACCAAGCATTTGTTGTGTGGTGATAGCATTGTATTATCTCAAAACAAAATAAAAAATGACGGATCATTTAGAGAAACCGTATGAAAGATAGTTACAATTAATTTTTCTCTATACAATAAGCAACAATCTCTAAAACTGAAATATTTGTAGCACAAGAAGTACTAATCAGTTATCACTAATTGAATACTAAGATCCCACAAGAACTACAAATCAAGAGTATGTACTTCAATTTTACAAGTCATAAAATTTTTAAACAACATTAACTCACCCTTTCTTGTATAAATAATCTCCATCTACTTGCAACAAGAAGTAGACATCTTTCCATCATGCAAATCCTAATTAAGAGAAAAATCAAGAACCCTAGGTTCAGAAAACAAGTATGAGAAATGACCAACTTAAACTGGAACCTTAGGTTTTGTAAAATCAGAAAAGGGAGAAATTAAAGAAAGGGGGAAGCGGTAGAGAGGGGAGGGGGGGAGAGCTTACCGATTTTGCATGAGCTTAGTAGCTCATTAGTGAAAATGGGGGAATTAGGTATGCTCGATCAGCGAAGAGATGAGAAAGAAAGAGAAGAATGAGAGTGAAAAAGAGATGAAAAATAAGGGGTATACCTAATGTAATAGGAAATACTTTCCCACTGATTCACTGGGTACTTTTGTGGGAATTGTGTTACATAAATTTAATTTTTTTGGTGAAATAATTTTTAAACTCGGGGTTTTTTAGACCAAATATAAGAATTCAAAATTTTGAACTTCCCACTGCATCAATGAAAATATTTAAATAATTTCTATCTTAGGTTCCCACTGCTTCACTGGGTAGATTTTAATAATTTTATTTTTAATGACATACCTACTGATTCGGTGGGAAACAAATTACACGTTTGTTTGCGCCAACTAGTTACCACTTAGAGTCTGTGTGAACGTTTTTAAAAAAAAGGTAAAAGAAAACTTTTCTATTTCCCACTGAATATTTTTATATTTTAGTGGGAACTGCCACTGATAATACATCTGTGGAAAATTTTTCTGGGAAATTTGTATTTTCTAGTAGTGTCGGTTAGTAGAAAAAGAATTTTCTCACAAATAAAATATAGATTATTTTGACACATTTGCACCAGTGACTAGAATTTCTTCTATTCGAGTTTTAATTGTCGTAGCTTCGATCCGTAAGCTTTTTATCCATCAAATGGATGTCAAAACAACTTTCTTAAATGGTGATTTAGAAGAAAAAAATTATATGGTTCAACCTGAAGGTTGTGTCATTCCTGGACGAGAAAACAAAGTTTGTAAACTAATTAAAATCTCTTTATGGCCTTAAACAAGCTCCTAAGCAGTGGTATAAGAAATTTGAACAAGTCTTACTGAGAGATGGTTTTTTCTCGCTTGAGGTGGATAAATGTGTTTATACTAAATTGGTAGACAATGATTATGTAATAATATATCTATATGTTGATGATATACTTATATTTGGTATAAGTTTAAATATTGTGCAAAGTACTAAATTATTTGTCTGTTAATTTTGATATGAAAGATCTGGGTGAAGTAAATACAATATTGGGAGTTAAAGTTATACGGAGTAAAGATGGAATAATATTATCACAAGAACATTATGTTGAGAGACTTCTTAAAAAGTTTGAATATTTTAATGTCGCACTTGTGAGCACTCCTTTTGACGTTAACTCTCAGTTGAAAAAGAATAATGGTGACACAATTGCTTAGTCTAAATATGCGCAGATTATTGAGAGTGTGATGCATTTAATAAATTTTACAAGGCCTGATATAGCCTATGTTGTATGTAGACTGAGTAGATATACTCATAATCCCAACAGAGAGCATTGGTCTGCATTGGATAGACTAATGAAATTTTTTAGAGGAACCATGAATTATGGTATCCTATATAGTGAATTTCCTTCTAGTTTAGAACGGTACAATGATGCAAACTGGATCTCTGATTCAGATGAGACAACATCCACTAGTAGTTATGTATTCACCCTTGGTGGTGGTGCAATATCGTGAAAATCAGCTAAACAGACGATCATTGCTAGATCAACTATGGAATCAGAGTTTGTAGCTCTAGAGTTAGCTAGTTCTGAGGTTGAGTGGCTAAGAAACTTCTTACCTAATATCCCTTTAATAAAGGACGTATTGCCTCATGTGTCTATACATTGTGATTTCCAAGCGGCAATAGATATAGCAAAGAATAAATCTTATAATTGTAAAAGTAGACACATGAAATTGAGACATGATGTCATAAAGCAGTTACTAAGAGATAGAATAATTTCTATTGATTATGTAAAGTCAGAAATTAATTTGGCCGATCCCTTGACTAAACCAGTGGGAAGAAAATTAATTCTTCAAACCTCAAAAAAGATGGGGTTAAGGCCGGCATGTTGTCAGTAGAGATAGTAACCCAACCTATGTGATTGGAGATCCATGAAGTAGGTTCATATAAGTAATAACAAGTCGATATTGGCATTGAAGCACTAAAGAAGAGTGCTTAATTGTAACTAATTGAGAGGATGAGTTATAACTCTTAATGAAATTTACAGTCCTTATGGATTGTGCATTACAGCCTCTTTTCTGGTGTGTATGTACTTCGAACCCATTTCAATTTTCATTAATCTTTTCTATTTTTTGCTGGTGATTTTTCTAGTTCTTGGATTTTTGTTTTCTGGGTATACTTTAAGATTCTTGAAGTTAATAACCCAAATATAGAAAATTAATACTTTCAAGTGAAAAGTTGTAATTTTGCTAGTTCTTGATCTTTTTTGTTCTGGTTGTAGTTTATCGTATTTGAATTTATTGGAACAAAAATAGAAACTTCTATTTTCAAGTCAACAGATTTGATTTTTTTTTCTGAATAGAATCTATTTTCAACTTCTATTTTCTATTTGATTTTTTTCTCTTCTACTGCGCCGCTGCCCCAAATTTGGGGATTTTCACTGTTTCAGTCCGTCACTAACCGGCAGTTGGCCACCATCGTTTGGTGTCCACTTTTCCATTTCACCTCACCTTGAAGCTGCACCACTGCTTTGTAATTTGACTGTAAATCTCTCTTATTCTCTTGCTTCTTTTTATTTTATTTTTATGTTGGGTTTCTCCGAAAATAAATTTTTTGGTGGTAGAGTTAATATAGTTGAATTTTCAGCTGAGAAGGGCACTTGTTCTGTCTTGCTTCACGTCATCATTTTCTTCAATATTTTTTCTTCTCCTTTCTTGGTACATTCTATATTGTTGGGGCTATACTAGTGGTAGCGGTCATAGCTCCTTTCTGGTTTTTGGGTCGTGGTATTTTTTGTGTTTTCAGGAATTCTCGGAGTATTGGAGACAAGTTGGGCGCACGAGCACTGGCAAAGGAGAGCAACCTGGGCGAGTGTCAGCAAAGGGCAGTAGGAAGTGGTGCGTGAGCGCACAACTGCATCGAGTACAACAAATCAGCCAAAGGTTTTGTTATCAGGAATTGGTACCTCCTGTTTTACTGTTTCCCTTTTGGTGTTAGCTAAATTACTGTTACTTTACTTCG